CTTTTCCCTCAACGGCTACTCAAAACTCTTACCTTAAAGTGTTGTGACCCGCGGCTTCTGTACGTAGATCAGTACGCGAGATCAACGCAAGATCAGCGTGTTATAGCAAAAACAACAACACACGGCATATACTCTACATATGCACATTTCATATATATACATATGTACGAATATATATATATATATATATATATATATGTTGAGAGCATCAGATAAAAAATGCGAGCTTTTATTAAAACATTTTTATTGGCGATTTCACAAGAACACACAAAAGAAAAGCACAAAGACAAAGCGTAGCAGAGATAAAAGTCATAAATAGCAACAACACCAAAAAAGAAATACCAAAAAAAGAAACACAAAAAACAGAAGTAGTAGAAAAAAGTTATGAAAATAAAAATAAAGATTAAGCAACTAAATCGAAAAAAAGAAAGAAAAAAAATACAATCAAGAACAGCTTGAAAGAGCAACATACCAAATTGGGTCAACAAAACAATCTCACCTGGACCGCTGACTCTACTCTACTCCACGCCACGCCATGACACAGCGTCATGAGTGTTACACGCGCGCACATACATATTTATTGGGGATTTTTTTCTCTCATATTTTTGTTTGTGAACATGTGTCTAGCGTCGTACATATGTACATTTATAACCTCATAAGTAGGTTCGTTCTGCCTCACATGTCTGTCCGTCTGCTGCTGTTGTTTTTCATAATTTTGCTCGCGTCGAGAGACTTTCTTTTACTGCGAGTCAAATGGATGCTAGTACAGGGTGTGGCAATAAATATGTTTTTGTGCTTTATTCAATTCTATTTTTGTAGAATATTAATAATAATAAAGGATTTGAGTAAAATATTTTTCGATTTATGATTAATCAGTATTGTAAGATGGGGTTGCTATTAAACAGGCAATTAAATGAATAAAATTGAAAAATTTAATTTTTTTTGCAATAATATTATATTTTATAGAGAATTGATGTTAGTAATTTAATACATTTTTTGCGAATATAAATTAAAAAATTATGTGTATTTGTGATTAATCATTAAAACTTTTGAATATTTCTGAACTTACGACTAATCAGTGCTTTAATTATATTATATGTCATTCATAAAGATTATTGTTAGCTAAAAACGCAAAAATACGAAAATTGAAATAATCATATTGATTAGTAATTTCTGTTAATCAGGAAATTAAATTAAGCATTTTTACTAATCACGATTAGTTGAATTTTTTGTCTGAAATAATTTATCTAATGAACTAGCAATATGAAATATTTTTTTACAATAATTAGTTAATCAATTAAATAACTATTTGCGATTAATCATAAAATTAAATTAATTCCTAATTTTTAAAAACTATCATAAATAAAACAAAAATATAGATCTATAATTAAGAGATTTTGTAATGAATGCAATTATTTGGGCTACGATTAGGATTTTTTTTTAATATATTCGAAACTAAATTAATCATGTTTATACATAAGTTACGAAATCAAATTGTTAATTAGGATTCTTTCGTTTACATATAATTGGCGTTTTGTAGGTAATTTTCCGGTCTAGCTCCTCCGCGAATTTGTGGTACGCGCCTTGATAATGTTAAGGGACCTACGGTTTATTCTGAGCCGCCTCCGAACGGCCAATAGATTTTTACGAGGAACTTTTTCATTTTATGTCAGAAATACACTCGGAGAGCTTGACTTTCCTGCCGAGGTGCCCGAATGGCTATCATATATTTTTTTGTATACAAATAGCTTACTTATGCGATTAATCAAATAAGAAAAATAAATTTGGGATAAAAACTAGTATATACGTACATATATATATTCGGGTATTACTTATTATTATTATTCTGACTATTTCATTCTAAACTGACGAAATTCTTCAACTAGTCTTTTGGAAATGGGAATTAATCCTTTAAGAACTGCCTTGAATTTAATTGAAAGATTATTTCATTTCATTGGCAATTAAATTGAAATATTTTGAATAACACAAGAAGTCTTATGATTAATTTTTTTTATGATTAAAAAACTTATTTAGATTATGATTTTAGAAATACAATTACAATTAACCACGAAAAATTTTCTTGTAATCGATTTCTCAAATTTGTAAAAAATTAAATGAAAAATATTTTATAACAAAAGGTTGAAAAAGTAAAAGAGTTTAATAAAAATGGCTAAAAAAAGAGTTAAAAATGTAAAAATTAAAGAATTTAAAATATAAAAGAATAAAAATATTTTAAAAATAAAAATAAAATTTAAAAAAAAAAATAAGAAGAGTTAAAAAATAAAAAAATAAAAAATAAGAAAATTTAAAAGAAAAAAAGTTAAAAAAAGTGGAAAACTAAAATAAATAAAAATAATAATAAAAAACATAAAAAAATGTAAAATGTATAAAAATTTAATGGAAAATAAAAAATTGAAAAATATAAATAGAAGAAAACTATTAAAAATAATATTAAAAAAAAATTTTAAATTAATTAAAAAATTAAAAAAAAATATAAAATAAATAAAAAAATAAAAAAAAATATAAAATAAATAAAAAAATAAAAAAAAAATAAAATACATAAAAAATAACAAATAAATAAAAAATAAATTAAATTATAAAATAAATAATAATATATAAATGAAAAATATATTAAATAAAAAAATGAAAAGTAAAACAATAAAATATAAATAAAAGACAATGAACACTAACAATAGAAAATATATAATAAAGATTTCAAATAAAAATCATCAACATGTGTTTTTTTTTTTTGTATTCGCCTTCTTCAAACACCCTATAGCATTAGACTTAAAATGATCTTGAGTTTTTGCGAAACTCAAGCATGTAATGCATAATTTCTTTTTATTTCTTATCTCTACCTTTTCATTGCGCATGCGCGTAATTACTTATTCTATGCCTCATAATATTCTTATTAGTTTTTTATTCTCTTATTGTTTCTTTGCTTGTCGGCTAGCAACGAGTCTAAGCCTTATAGAGATTTAGGCTTTTAAGATTATGTTTTAGCTATGAAAGAACTGTAATCTGCTTTGCAATAATAATTTTATGGCACATTCTTTTTTTAATTAATTTAATTAAAATAACAGTAATAATTTAAAATACAACTTTTTTTACTGGAAAATATTTGTAAGCGAAAAATCTACTGGAAAAAGTGTTTAAAGTAAATGTAACCTTCTTCTTTTGCTTAGTAAGCCTAGTCAAGTCTGTTATAGCAGTTCCCTTGTTATTTTTTTTTTTAACTTTGGTGAGTGTTGGGGACACCAAATAAATTCTAGTAATGCTCCAATTGAGTAAAAGGATAAAACCACATTGTTATGCTCCAGTAGAACATATGCATGCATACCGTTTATTTCAGACTGCATAAGATTGCAGCTCAAGAGATCTCTTTTGTTGAACTCGATTTTTCCTCGCTATCTAGATTAAGTATTGTCGATTAGGCCCGGTAGAGCCTCATTGTGATTCGATTAAATATATCTTCTGACTTTTTGCCCTCCATTTAGACTCCCTTATTTATTATTCTTTTTATTAGTTCAGTTTAGTTTCTGTCAAAAGTCGAGGTCTATTCATACATAAAAATGTTTGTAAAACTCGCATAGTATGCATAAAATAGTCTCTTCCTCCTCGTCATTTTTTCTGCGAATTCCGCTGCATCTTCTATTCTTTTATCAACAGGATCCGAATTAGTTGCATCGACTTGAGCCAGAAAGATTTTGTTCTCAACTTGGCAGTATGCGGGTAATGCGATACTTAATAGTCAAAGCATTCTATATTCAAGATCATATTTTGGTAGCAAGCTCGTCTTGTATCTATTACCAGTAATCCAAATGAGGACTATTTCTTTCCAGTTATTGAAATAACTCAGCTGATGAACCATAGATCACCGTCCCTTTGCAGGTATTTTGATATATTCTGCGCTTTCTCAAAGTAGTAGACTCTGTACTCGTCATGTTTTCTGGACGCCACAATTGTGGAATTTTCATTTTCTCCGTCAGTTAGCTGTTCGGGTTCTTCATATTATTGAAATGACCTTTTGCAGACGTATATGGCTTTTCTCTTTTTCGACACACGTTTTTGTAACCCTAAAGCAAATGTGTTGCGAAATAATTGAATTTTTCAAAAGAGGAAACCAAAAATTTTGTATGCGCTGGGCCTTAGAAGGTCGAATAAATCGTCATACAGTTTAGCCATCCCATTTGATTGCACTCAGAGAGCAGGATGCTACCTTCACCTTCTTTGTGTTTTGTTTTTTTTGTGAGTCTGTGCTTCTAGCTTCTAGTAGATTCGGGCTTATGAGAGGCAACCCTGGTGTTTTGCTGACTGAGTGACTGACGAGCATTAATCGTATGTCTGCTGTTTTTTGGCAAAATATATCCAAGTTTCACATTTCTGCAACAAATGAGAACACCCCAAAGAGAGTAGTTTGCTTATTACTTAGTCGCTTCCTATTTGTTCTATTTCCATGTGGCGTCAGAACAACAAACACTTTTTCATATAATCCTCTTTCTTCTCTTTCCTTTTTATTGAAAATTTGGGTTTACCTGTCAAAATAAATGGAGCTCAATCCTCTAAGGAGCCGCGTAAAAAAAGGTCGTGAGCGCCAGAGTTTACTCGTTCGGTTGGTTATATGGGGATGGTTTGGAAAATATATATAAAAATTATTTCATAAACCGCTTGAGAATTACTCGGTTACTAATTTGAGCGAATGAAATGTTAAACGAATGCGATGTTGAGCACAAAAAGAGTAAGAACTAACTTACGTTGCTCAACAACAACAACGCTTAATTTTTCGAGTTCTCCCGGCAACGGAGTCAGTACTGTGAGAATTTCGGCATCAATTAAGGCCCTAAAATATTTTATTTAAATTAAATGGTGAGATGTATGGTTGAATTTATAGCTTTTCCTGCCATTATTTTGACTTACTATTATATATTTTCGAATCTCTACATAAAAGAACATATTTCTTTAGTACATTTCTCTCTCTCTCTCTCTCTTTCCACTTACAGTATTGTCCACCCGCATGAAACAATTGGCCCATTTACTGGACGATTTCAATTTTGAATGCATCGGCACAGCGCAAACAGATGACGAGAATGTCATTTGCGAAAGTCTGAAACATTTCGCCGCCATAATCGGAACCATCGAAGATGAGCGAGAAAAAATGGTGAGTAAAAGCAATCAGGCGAAAAAGCCAGAATCTTTTCATGTGTCAAAAGGCAGGCGAGAAACCGTGAAATTTCAAATTCATTGCGAATTTCTAAATCAACCGCAGAAACTTTTTTAATAATAACTAAATGTTCAACTAAATATACGTATATACATACATATATTTGTATGTGCAAATCTAACTAAATGACGCTTTCTGCACAATTTCCCACAGCTGACGCTGGCGGATCAACACATCATTTCACCGCTGGAGGATTTTCGAAAGAAACACATTGGCGGCGTTAAGGAGAACAAGAAAAAGTTCGACAAAAAGACGGAAAAGTTTTGCCAGACACAAGAACGCTTCCTGAATATGTCAACAAAAAAGCCAGAGAACACGATACAAGAGGTGAGTGCGTGGCTAAGTGAACCTTGTGTGTATGTAGTAGTGTGAGTCATTGTGCATAAGCGGAAAGACGTTTAAGCGATTTTTGTTGTGAAGTTTGCAGAGCGTCGGCGCTTTTAGTTGGTGGATTTCAGAATTTATTAAAAGTGGCTGTTTGTACACACACAATCACACCGGATATGTTGTGAAAATGTCTAATATTTTCCAAAATTAAAAACTTTTTGACTTGCACTCGAAAAATCACGTATGAATTCAGAGAATTTTAGGTCTAACTTGGTGTGGGTTTATTTTCTTTACTTAAGTTCTTTATCATTACCAAGTGAAACTAGGTCCTTTTCCAACTGATCCTTCCAAAGAGTGAAGGTCTGCCTCTTCCTCTGCTTCCAATATCGGCTACTGCATCGAACACTTTCAAAGTAGGTTTATTCTCATCCATGATCTTCCCATCGTAGTCTCTCCTTTCTTTCTCATTGTCTTGCACGCGTTGCCAATGCGTGAGGAACCGTAAATGTGCCGCAAAACTTTTCTTTCTCTGCTTTATAGTTAGCAAGACGAGATTGATGACTTGTGACTTGTAGAGTCTTTGTTTATCGAGGGAGGTCTTCACTTTTCAATTGCATCCTCAGTATGAGGTAGCACCTGCATGGCCAAAGATCTAAGCCACACGGATAAGCTCTGGTCAACTCATTGAAGGCTGAGGCGTCTCTCTTCTCATGAATTGAGCAGAGCATCAAATGTTCCAGTCCTCGGTCATGCTTTCGTCTTATCATATTGAGCAAAGAAGTTGATGCGTGTATCTTGTCAGTTTTTCGGTGGCATATCAGAACAGCTGAGCCGGTAAGCCATTGGCTCCTGTCGCTTTATTATTCTTCCGGTAATGGAATGTTTGTCCCTTCGTCATCGATTGGGACTTCGGGTGTTTCGCTTTGACAGCTATTCATAAGGCTGGAGAAGTGTTACCTCTAGAAGTGTTACCTCCGATCTTCACATTTATATTCACGCATTTCGATCTCTATTTTCCTATACACGTATTTTCTGTTTTGTCTGCAGATAAGTCGCTTTCTTCTTCAGCTCCCGATTCGAATGGCTTATGAGTGCTTTTGGAGAACAGTAATACAAGTCGAGTTAAAAACCGTTCGACTGTCTGTTTTAATTGCGGATTACGAATGTCGAACATTCGTTGGGTTTGTTGATGAGCGATGGTGGTCCGACCCACTGTTAAGTTCTCGCGTGAAGAACACTGGATACATGTCGTCCGCCTGTCATAAGAAGAACAATTTGGTTGCGCGACTTTCAAATCGATGACAGCCGTGGAGCTTGATGAATTTTCTAGTGCCGGTATATTTTATTGCAGACAACAATGTTTTGCGCCCCAGTAAAGACAATTAGCTTCAAGCCGTTTGCAGATGCTTAGACATCCGACTGTCATGCCGAATATATCTTTTCTTGCTCACCCCAGTCGCCAGTCACAATTTTTTCATTGCAGCACCGCTCATTCGTGCATTCTACCCATTGAAGCGTTAATGGAAGTCAGAGATTAGTTAGAGTACTTTGCGGGTTGCAGCTAAACGTTCAGCCACTGATAGAAATATAAACACTATCTGTAATATATTTCACAAGCACCTATGAACAGGTGAAGCACAGCCAAAAGCTTTCGCTGTTTGGGATATTTGCTCTCAAAGCTCCTCACGAAAGTCTATCGGCCGTTCGGAGACCGCTTATTTATTCAATAATTTTTAATTTTTATTTTATTTTACATCATTTTAATTATATTATTTTAAATTAAGTTTATTGCATTATAACATTTTTATTTTCTTGTTTTATTTTAAGCTAATTTATTTTTTTTTTTATTTTAGTTTAATTTTATTCTATTGTTTATTTTATTTTAATTAACTTAAAATAATTTAGTTTTTATGTGTATTCTTTTAATTTATTGTAGTTAAATTTTTATATTGTTTTTTAATTAATTTTATTTTAATCATATTTATATAGTATTTTTGTATTATTTTAATTTATTTTATTATTTTTGTATTATTTTAATTTTTTTTTATTACTTTTTAATTAATTGACTTAATTTAGTTATAAATTTATTAATATTTTATAATTTATTATTTATTTATTTATTTTTGAGTTTGACTTTATTTTTGAAGTAATTTGATTTCTATATTATTTTATTTATTTTTATGTTGATTTTATTTTAATTTAATTAACTTATTTTAATTTTACTCAAATTACTTTACTTAATTTAATCTTTTTTAGCTTTACTTTAGTTTCGTTTCAAATATTTATTTTTTATTAAAATAATTACATCATTTTATTTTATTATAAATATTTTTTATTTTTTTCTTTCTTTTATTTATTTTTATTTTATTTCATGTTATTTAGTTTTCTTTCGTTCGTTCTGTTCCTAGTTGTTTCTATTTAACAATTTTGTTTTTTGTGTTTTTAGTGTAATTCAATTTCAAAAACTTTATTCGCCTACAAATCTTTATGCTCTCTCAGTGCCTCTAAAGTAATATAATTGCAATCTCTATGAAAGAGTTGAAACGGAAAATGCAATAAATACGAAATTCATTCGGCCGATGGCTGTGCGCTTCCTTACTACGCACGCACATAAATGATACCATCCGTCGTCTGCTTACCACTTAAAAAGTTTCAGATTTTCCACAGCAACAGATTTTCCATGGCTACTCATTTGAACTTTTTCCATTTTCCAATTTCAAATAAATATGTTTGTATAATATTTACACAATGCACAAACGCTCAAACAAATTTCTGCATAGATATACATACATACATACATATACCTATACGATGTGGCAGACAGAAAAGTGTAGTAAATAGTTTTTGCTGCCGCCAAAGTTCCATGACCTGCGCCAACAAAGAATTGCATTACTGCCCTCATACTGAAACTATTTGTCATATATACATACATATAAGTGCATATGTACATATAATATATAACTACAGGTATGTAATATGAGTATATGATATTGGTTGTTTGTAAACGGCATTACCATTGTATGCATTCAGTGTGTCCCACTCAACCCAACCGAAAAGTATATAGACACTGTAGTACATACACAAAATACATATAGTATATTGACAGGAGTAAATTCCTCCTCGTTTTCGTTTACCCATAAGCCGCCCAAATGTGTATACTTGCGCTTATTTACAGTAAATACCACAACCAGCACAAATGTAGGTATGTATTTATAACTACTCTTGTATATATGTAAATACGAACACAACTGAGCAGAACCCGACACTATCCAGCCAGGACACCCACTGGCACAACTATTCACCCATATTCAAACACCTGCACACTCGGAGCAACACCCGAATCGTGTTATTCTCACAGCCACCCACCAACTCGTTCTACAGTCATGCGGGTTCGTATAGTTCTTTGTATTTGTGCATGTCCATAGAGTAGCATCCCTGCAGGGAAATTGAGTAGACTTGCATTGATTGTCGTATGAGAAGTGTGGGACCGATTTTGCAGGAGGTAAGAAGTGTTGAAAGATCTGATGATCAGTGACTTCGAATCAAGAATGAAGGAAGTGCAAAAGCTCGTAGCGAATTCAAGAGAGCTGGCGTTGGTCAAGAGTATTTAGGTGAAGTCGGGAATGCAATAGTTCAGCCGCGGTGAGGCCAATGGGTGGTTCTCAGGCTATCAAATCTTCTTTTATGAGAATCAAAATTTTATTTGTAACTTTGTCGAAGTCCTCGATGAACCCATACCCCTACTCAATACATCGATCAAGATGGTTTAGGAAATTCAAAAATCAAGCATTAGCTCTGGCAAAACTGTATTTTCATAGCATTTCTGGGATGGGAATGTGCCAGGTAATTGCCCCAATAGTTACCTACGCACAATACCCTTTCTCACATTTTACGTCGCTAAAAGCTTGCCCAAAAAGCTTAAACTGAAAAGTCCTCATCTTTGTATAATTTTTTCTACTTGGTTTCAACAGCTCCTCAGTCTTTGCGGGTATTTGCAGCTCTGCATTTGCATTTGATGTTACATAACTGTCTGTGTTTGTATAGCTATAACGTCTAATACCGTTAAATTGTAAATATTTGACTAGTTTTCTGTCGTAAGCGCTTTCCTTCTATGTTCTCCCGTTTCTTCCTATTTCGGTTGCCTTCAGCCAACTCCAGCAAAACTCCGTTTTTCACTTAGCAGCTCACATCGCATACTTTAAGGGGCTGCTTTCAGCATTCAAGTCATACCCGTCTACTGTCTACGTTGCCTGACCGCATAGTTACCTCCTGCTCTTGGTGACAGTGTGGCTACAATTGTGAAGCGGGCCGAGCTTATCTAATGTTTTTACAGCGTACTTGACACTGAACTGTGCGAGTACAATGGGACAGAGCTGGCGTTCTGGATACTCGTTCGCTCTAGCTTAGAATACCGTCGAAAGTGTTGACTAAAGCTTTGAGCATCTGAAGTTAATGTTAAGTTTCTCGCTTCGTTTGAAAAAATCTCAGCTAAAGTTCTTGTAGACAGATAACCGGATCATAAGAACCTACAGGAGATAAATAAATAAGATAAATAAGTTAAAAACTGTTCAAGCAGTTCTCGTTCTTCCAGTAGGAAAATCCGACACTAAAACAGTCACACCGAGAGTCACCAAGCTTTATCCGTCACTATGTACGCGGTTCCGTTCCTCATTATTTTGAGTTTTTATAAAACTGAACCACTGTTGATACTTATCTGCTTTATTTCCATTTTCCGTTTTATTCTTATTTCGGAGATCCACAACAGACATTCTTTTTTATATCCACACTTTGTAAACTAAAGTTTACTTTATCTTAACCTACGTTCAGGTAAATCCTTTCAATGTTTGCATTTAAAGTCTGAAAGACTGAGCTTAGGTATAGCATGAGGGATAGGAAAGAGGATGTAGAAAACAGTGTGAATATAAAATGCATAAATAATGAGGAATCAGTACGAGCGTATTTACCTGCTGCAGTCTGCCTGCATTGCGTTTTAAATGGTG